ATGATATAATAGTGTAAAGTATGGTGGTGTATGATATAATAGTGTAAAGTATGTATGTGGTGTATGATATATATAGTGTAAAGTATGGTGGTGTATGATATAAGTAGTGTAAAGTATGTAATAGTGTGATGTATGATATATTAGTGTAAAGAATGGTGGTGTATGATATAAGAGTGTACAGTATTGTGGTGTATGATATAATAGTGTACAGTATTGTGGTGTATGATATAATAGTGTAAAGTATGGTTATTTATGATATAAGGGTGTAATGTATGGTGATGTATGATATAAGAGTGTAAAGTATGGTGGTGTATGATATAAGTGTAGTGTAAAGTATGGTGGTGTATGATATAAGTATGGTGGTGTAAAGTATAGTGTAAAGTATGTGGTGTATGATATAATAGTGTAAAGTATGGTGGTGTATGATATAATAGTGTAAAGTATGGTGGTGTATGATATAATAGTGTAAAGTATGGTGGTGTATGATATAATAGTGTAAAGTATGGTGGTGTATGATATAATAGTGTAAAGTATTGTGGTGTATGATATAATAGTGTACAGTATTGTGGTGTATGATATGATAGTGTAAAGTATTGTGGTGTAGGATATAAGAGTGTAAAAAGTATCGTTGTGTATGATATAATAGTGTAAAGTATTGTGGTGTATGATATAAAAATGTAAAGTATCGTGGTGTATGATATAATAGTGTAAAGTATGGTGGTGTATGATATAGTGTATAAGTATGGTGGTGTATGATAAGTGTAAAGTATGGTGTATGTATGATATAATATAAGAGTGTAAAGTATGGTGGTGTATGATATAAGAGTGTAAAGTATGGTGGTGTATGATATAAGAGTGTAAAGTATGGTGGTGTATGATATAAGAGTGTAAAGTATGGTGGTGTATGATATAAGAGTGTAAAGTATCGTGGTGTATGATATAAGAGTGTAAAGTATGGTGGTGTATGATATAAGAGTGTAAAGTATGGTGGTGTATGATATAAGAGTGTAAAGTATCGTGGTGTATGATATAAGAGTGTAAAGTATGGTGGTGTATGATATAAGAGTGTAAAGTATGGTGGTGTATGATATAAGAGTGTAAAGTATCGTGGTGTATGATATAATAGAAGTATGGTGTATATGATATCGTGTATGGTGGTGTATGATATAAGAGTGTAAAGTATAGTGGTGTATGATATAAGAGTGTAAAGTATGGTGGTGTATGATATAAGAGTGTAAAGTATCGTGGTGTATGATATAATAGTGTAAAGTATGGTGGTGTATGATATAATAGTGTAAAGTATGGTGGTGTATGATATAATAGTGTAAAGAATGGTGGTGTATGATATAATAGTGTAAAGTATGGTGTGGTGTATGATATATATAGTGTAAAGTATGGTGGTGTATGATATAATAGTGTAAAGTATGGTGGTGTATGATATAATAGTGTAAAGTATAAAGGTGGTGTATGATATAATAGTGTAAAGTATGTATGATATGGTGTATGATATAAGTGTAAAGAATGGTGGTGTATGATATATAAGTAGTATGATAGTGTAAAGTATGGTGATGTATGATATAATAGTGTAAAGTATCCTGGTGTATGATATAATAGTGTAAAGTATCCTGGTGTATGATAAAAGGGTGTAAACTATCGTAGTGTATGATATAAGGGTGTAATGTATGGTGTTGTATGATATATTAGTGTAAAGAATGGTGGTGTATGATATAAGAGTGTACAGTATTGTGGTGTATGATATAATTGTGTACAGTATTGTGGTGTATGATATGATAGTGTAAAGTATTGTGGTGTATGATATAAGAGTGTAAAGTATCGTGGTGTATGATATAATAGTGTTAAGTATGGTGATATATGATATAAGGGTGTAATGTATGGTGATGTATGATATAAGAGTGTAAAGTATCGTGGTGTATGATATAATAGTGTAAAATATCGTGGTGTATGATATTAGAGTGTAAAGTATCGTGGTGTATGATATAATAGTGTAAAGTATTGTGGTGTAGGATATAAGAGTGTAAAAAGTATCGTTGTGTATGATATAATAGTGTAAAGTATTGTGGTGTATGATATAAAAATAAAGTGTAAAGTAAAGTATCGTGGTGTATGATATAATATTATATAATAGTGGTGTATGATATTATCGTGGTGTATGATATAATAGTGTAAAGTATGGTGGTGTATGATATAATAGTGTAAAATATGTGTATGATATAGTGTAAAGTATCGTGTCAAAAGTATGCTTTTATACAATAATACGATATAAAAATTGACCAAAAGGAATTTGCAATTATGTCTAGCAAATTTCTCTTTTCATATGAATGAAGATATATATGTTTTTTACAATATATATGCATTTCATGCTTAAAGACGTGTAGAGTATAATATTATATAGTTGCATGCCTTATCATACAATTATAGTCTTTGGATGAGGTCAAAACATGCTTTTATCAACACGAGAAAACTTATCGACTGAAGACGATGTATGAGGACGAGATTTATCGACCGAATTCCGCACATGACGATAAAAGCTATATTACAACTTGACATGTTGATCTCATTTATTTGTAAAAAAAACCCTAAAAATCCTCCTCCTCATTTTTGAAAATGGTTCGCAGTCTGAACGTTTCCTTTTTAACTAATAGTTTTTTGAATGCCATTATCATTTTGGTCATCTGATGTCTGTTCCTTGCCATTTTTTTCTGTTGTTACAATGTACAGGCAACGTCACCGAAATAATAGGAAATCAACTTGTTTAAAAAACATACCATTCAATCTATAAAAGAAACATCCACTATGCAGTGTGTTTGCATATATATGCAAGATAAGTTACTTTACACAGTTATTTATGTTGGTTTGTTTGCATATTTGAATTATATTCTAAATTGATATCGTTTAAGTAGGCATTTTTATTCTCGCATCTATTCTTCCTGGTTATACACGTCAGGTGTGTATGTAGATACACGCGCGGATAGAAATCACGTGGTCCCACGGATGTGGTAGGACCACGACATGGTACACATCATTGAAGGAGTCTCAGTCATTAGTCTACCTTGGATGAATGTTTTGGTTAACATGTTATGTTTCATTTCCTTGCAGATGTTGTGATATCTAATTGTATGTAACTGGCAGGGCATAAGTTTGATGCTGTGTCCATGACTTTCTTTAAACCTTTAATAGTGTATATGCCCCCGTTTACCTATCGTCGCCTTTAAGACCACGCCCATGATGGGATTCGTACTCACGGGTACAAAGGTCAAAGTGCCCGAATTCGTACGCTATGGTCGTACCACTGCGGAAATTATAGTCATTAATCATGATAGCGCAGGTATCCTATGTCTTATGTAATTACGACAGGGTTGCAGCGCTGATACATTTTAAACCAAGACATCGAGATGCATGCACAAACGCTGCTATTATATTACTATATAAATGCATAACATTCCCAGACTTAATATGCTTCGAGATGTAGTCGATATCATTTTCATGAATGGGCATCAATTCCACAAACATGCACGACATATATCAAAACAACAAGACAATACTTACATGTAAACAAAACTGTCTGATTCTAACTCCAAGTAATTAACAAGGATAACAAATAACAAGACGAAATGTTCCTGAAGGTATGCATCCATGACCCATGACTAAGCTCACAATATAAATTAGGTCAGTCAGAATAAATAACACTATCAGATATCATTTTTATAAAAGATGCAGTACAGGTAAGAAAACATTAATCAATTGCATCATATCTGTTTCTAGGTCTCGTTAGTGATGTTAGATGTTGAAAGTTTTGAAAAGCATTTATCATTTATGTTAGAATTCCGACTCCCTTCATAACTCAGTAAACTCTGCACAAAAAGTAAAGACAGGGTCTCAAAATGGGTTTCGGGTAAATAACAATGAAACCACTACATCGAATTATATAATCCATTCAGAAAAATAATATTTCATTTTAACAATGTGATTCTCATGATAACTATAGCATTTTTCTTCATTAACTGCACCAGTCGTGCATCACCTACCGACATTTATCCAAGAAATCGTGATATACGGAACAAGTCCTATAATGTTGGACCAACAACGATATATAAGCACCTTCGGTAGGGGAAGCAGGCATGTTACTATTAAGAAATAAAACAAAATAGGAAATTTGATATAATTATTCACATCATACAGTTTATAGGGAGAGTGTTTCTTTTATCAAGTTAAACCTTTATATTGATTGATATATTGCTACAGCTTGGGTACGCAAAACATGTAATCTTTGAATTCTTGGCATATACGATTTTCCAATCAAAAGTTACAGGACGTACAGTTATTGACCGAGCTCTTAAAAGGTCTTATCATCAATGATGGCTTCAGATCACACGGCTGCGTTGTAATCTTTATTAAGTATAGCATGTACTTTTTCTTGCTATCTTTTTATTAATATTAAGGCGGCGTTTCAGCTTCCTGCATTTTAATTTCATAAGAGTATATGGCTTTATTATTACCAATATAAGGCACTTGGTGTTGCTGATCTTCGTTAACTGGCATATCGGTACATCACTCACAGCCCCATAACTCTGACAATACCCACAGAGGAACAGCTTCATGTCTAGCGGAATCTGTTCGAACACTTGAATGTTTATGGTGACTGTTACAGCGTAGGGCGTTTGGTTCATGCTTTGCAAATGGTGCATAATCACTTTTACAGATTTTAGCCGATCTAATTTTGAATCCGGTTTCGTTCGCACCACAGTATGCTAACATCTTATCGTCAATGCGTTCGTAAAACAAAATAGGTCTCATAAACTAAACAAATAATGGTTTTATGGAGTTTACCGAATTCTGTACTTCTGTGAGCAGGCGCTGTGTACGTTTCCATCATATTTAGCTGCTCTAATGAAGAGGTGCGATTGGACGCAAAGATGTAACGGTAGTACGCAGCACGAGATCATTTCTATGACGTAACATGCCTTCAAATGCACTGCATGCTATGCAGTGGAACAGGTGAATGAGCTATTGGCGGGAATCTGCTGCGTTTCGCATCATAACGAAGAGACCTGACGGTGCCGTTAAGTACAAACTATTCATGTAGTAGCTTCCGACGCAGTATGGAGTATATGCTTTGATGTTTAAGTAATATTTGACCTAAAAACTGAATATATGTTGTATTTATAGCCCCCTTCATCAACTTTATGTTAATATTGTTTCGTCTCAAGTACATCTCTTGCTATGCTGTACGCTGTAATGATATCTAGAAATGGCGTTACATAACCCGAGAATAGTATAAAACTCCTAATAGATATAATCTGTGTTTGCAGTGTATTGTACGTGGCATGACAACAGATGGTCTGACGATAGAGTCTGTCACAGCCAGGAGGATCTGTAAAACACACCGAGGGTCTGCAAGTACGTAACATGTACGCCAACTGCCAAGTTACCTTGACATATTAGAATACCTTTTTAAAAGAGGGTGCCCCATGGTGATGGGTCTGCACATGTTGTTACGTAAGAGTGGCGGGGTTATTCTCACACAGAAACGAGCGGTGTGTACACTTCAGTGGAATGTTTTCTTATGTGGTCCCAGGTTTCTAGACATACTATTTGTTAAAATTTCTTTCCTTAAATATTAATTTATAATGGACGTTATGTCATTTGAAATGCCTTACACAACCTGATTTTGATTTCTCTGATAGTTTCAAACGAAACAATATAGCCTCAGATCTACAGAATAATACACAATCGCCGAGTGTCTACAAAAACCAACCTACAAGATCAGCAGATAATAATTAATATAGCTGAGGATCCCAAGGGCTACGTTCGACCCAATTAATAAAGATGCATACCACTGCTACCTTTGTTTAACTATTGCGAATTAATATAATTGCTAACGGTTTTGTGAGAGAGAAAACGCACGTGTTTGCTTGTTACAGCGCTTGGGGCGAGTCCATTCCGCAGAGCGGTCAGTCGTGTAGCAGTGTAGCCGTCATTGCAGAAATGTAAGACGATATGTACTCAATATTTAGATCAGGACGGACAATTACAACGTGTTTATGTCAGTCTAGTTCCTCCATGTGGCTCTCAATCACTTCTTGGTAAGTAGTTCTTGCTATTAACATAATGTTGGAAGTTTTCAACAATGAGTACTGCTGTCTGTGAGTTACGTATATAACACCTTCATAACCGCAAGTCTGAAATACATATAATTAAGAAAAATGTTGGTGCAATTTGCATATTATGTAGACATATTGGAGGTTACATGTTGGAGATGAGTGTTACGTAATTACAGTAGAGTAGGGTGAGGCCCCCTTGGCATATCGGCTACAGCAAGTCAAACTGGCAAGCTGTTCCCGTACATCGCCTATACACGTGTAAAGGTGCACACACGTGTACACACTCACAGATGTAAGGAATAATGTTTACTTTTATCAATATATTGTGTTTAGAATGAATTTTGAATGAGGATATTGATATGTATCCGTCGGATAATTCTGTAGACATGCTATCAAATCTCATCTTTATGACCCAGCTCCACACATGTTACACTGACCCGTGTCGATTTACACGTCAATACATGTATATAGTTATACTAATAGCAGCATAATAAGCCACCAACACTATATGTTAAAATTATGTAAATAGTTCATTCTCGTTTTCAATTGTTATTTACCTGGTAAAGTGACCGATTTAAGCATTATAACATCAATTATCCCGAATGATTTGTTGTTTATCTCTTATTTTTTTTTTATTATTTTAGTTCCATCCTTTATTATGGTGTACAAATAAATTTTCGTTTACAAGACATAGTTTTAATATTTGTGAAGTTGACAGTGTAAGGATTAAGGCACAAAAACTAAATGTATGGGTGTACAGCGTCCTTTATTTACCATGATATTGCATGTATTTGTTACTTTAAATTATCATTGTATAGCTGATAATATTGGATTCTGTTCCTGACTTGAATTTAGATAACTTTGATTACTTCGTTACAACACGTTTGTTCTTCATTTTTTTCTGTTTAAATCATCTTGCCAAACATATTTAACTCAGTTATTAAAAGTAAATGAGACCTACACTTAATTCTGTGTATATTGTAATTATATTGTAACCCACAATGATTTATAACTATTCCTCGCAATCAGTCTTCATTAATTATTGCTTATGATAAATAGATAATATCATTGGCAATGTATGGTTTGTAATCGATCAAATACTATCTTTTTTAATACCGTGATTATTTGCTTATATTACTTTGCATTGAAATGTGTTTTCCACCTACATCAATTAAATATCAATCAGAGAGTAATCGGATATAAACATACTTAAATCGATACACTTTACCTCTTTATATATATAAATCACTGCCGTAAATTCTATATTACAGAAACATTGATGTAAATGTAAAAGTCTATTTAATAACAGTTAATGCTGATTGGGATTAAAGTTCTGCGAATTTTATTATTTATGGAGAAAAACTAGACATGTTCGGACACGTTATCTGTAAAGGCTGTGTATATCACAATGTGTTGACACGCCATATCTGTTTTTGACGTTTCTTTCATCCTTATGCATTCAGTGAACTCGTTAATTTAAGTTTTTATCGATATGACGTGCTAACGAACCCATGTTGTCAGTAACTGACCCGTAATCATTATAATATCTTGTGGAGTGAGAAGGGCGTCATTATGTTTATAAAAGGTACACTAAACAAAACACTCAATTACGGATAGTGTCATAATTATTCTTATAATTCGTTACAACGTACTTTTGCAATTATGGAAAAATTTTAATGAATTATTTTGTTTGTTATATTCTGTTCGACTTATTCAGTGTGATATTTTTTCCTAACGTTATTGTAGAAATTTGTCGTTAAGTCATTTTTTGTATTCGTGGTTATATCATTAAAATTTAACCTGTGTAGCCATATAGTTAAGTCTATATCACTATTGTTACAAACACATAATAACAAAAATGAGCAGCTAATTTAAGTAAAATTTTGTTACGTAAATACCGTTACAATTTGTGATTAAATTTATTTTGTAGTTATTGACATTATTTACTGCATAAGTTATAAACTTGGGATATTGTTTGTGTTGATATTCATTCGTTATTGATAAATTTTCACCATACGTAAACTTTTAATATTCTTTCGGTATTTTTATGGCTAATACAAGATCCGACTAGCTTCAAGGCCAAACCAATTCAAATCCTACCTAACACAGGCAAAAGAAAAAGATGAAATTGTACTATTATTATTTTTAAACAAGGAAAAAAATAGATGAAAACAACACAGATAAGAGTGTTTTAACGATTAATGGTTCAGCTTAATCAAAATGGTAAACATAGAAATATAAACGTGCTGTTATACAAAATGTCTTCATGATCACCCTAACGTAATTTCCATATGTAAAAACTAATTTTCCATAAAAAAATTTCTATTAATGATGTTTGAATATTAATGAGTATCGGAAAGTCGTAAATCTTTCAGATCACTCCGAAGTAAAGTTTACTATGCGTATTTTTAAACCGTACATGTCAAACATATATCATTACTTGTTAGATAAAAGAAACAAATTAATGTAATTTAAGTATAAACACTTGAAATATCTAAAGTAGGTACTAGCAGCAAAATATATGTAAAAAGAAACAATATATATATATATATATATATATATATATATATATATATATATATATATGTATGTTTCTTTTTTAGATAAAGTTTTTTGCTATTAACAGACTTTTGTGAATGGGATTATCTGTAGGGAATAATAATCCTTATTTAGGTATAAACTTATCTATCTTGATATCAGTCAAGCTAGAACCTTTAATAATATGTGCTACATTCTTAACCTTTTTATTTTAGTTTTTGTATGGATGGCTCATTAAACATAAAAAGTGCATAAGAGATGGACTTTTAATCATTCAGAGCATGTTCTATACATATGTCAGAACCAATTCCTGCAGATAAAGGCAGGTTCGTCAGATGGCTGCTCATCAAACCTCGCGCGATTGTGATGTTAACATTGGCACATAAAGTATTCAGAAACGTAGACACGGGTCACAGATGATGAAGTATTCATAGCGTTTTATTTCAGGGTTACGTAACGGGTCTTAATGCACGAAACACAGCGTAGGTTATATAGAAAGATCTAAGGAAACAACAATATATCCTTTATCAACAGAACACATGTTGCTTTTATGAAATTTACCACACTTTTATTTTCATAATAACCTTGGTTGAAAAACATTAATTTCTCGTTATTAGCATGTTAATATGTGCTCAAAGAGAACTCTTTTTGTAAGTTGTAAATCTTAAAGTACATGTGGAATTGAAATATGTCCAGAGATCTTCAGTCTGTATACAGTTTTGCCAACTACTTATTGTTTCTTGTGCAATCGTCTGTCACGTGATACTCTATCTTCACAGTAATCTTCTCGATGCCTTCAGCGTGGAATTACCGGTTATCCGTGATAAATCTTTTTGTACCTTTACTATAGAAATTCATTATATTTGTTTGAAAAAAAAAACCCATTTTGTAACATAGGGATGCTTCTATTAACTTACTTAATATATAAGTATATGTATGTTATCAATATGGATGATTTGAATTGAAATATCGCTTACATGTCATAGGTGTTAATATCTGTTTTATCTCATAAAACGATTGCCGTATATCTTACATTTTCATTTAGATGTCAATATCATAACATTGACCTTATAGTAGAGATGTTAGTGTTTACACAGCCATCATACAGGTATCGCCACAGAGATGTTATCATAAATTTATCTTAAAAATACAAATTATTTACCAATAACAGTGTCAGGGTCTCTAACGTATGTAATAGATATGTGATATGAAATAGGTATTTTTGTTGTATTCATAAGTAAAGATATAATTCAAATAAATTTAGTTTATTGAAATATTACCGCCCCTTAACCACAGAGATACATTTCCATTTATCAAGTAGTTATCATCAAATAAATGTTTTGTGTCAATTGTTAACATCATCAACAGCAAAATTAGAAAGGTAAGCATTTTTGAGTTCAGATTCATCAGTATTTTTGTGTGAAGCGATGCGTTTCCAAACACACTGATTGATTTCATTCAGTAACCTGATAATAAAAAAAGGGAAAGAAAAAACCGACAATTGACAATTTTTATCATCTTGTAGTGCTGATGATGATAATATCGAAACAAAACTGAAATGCCAAACAGCTAAATGAATAAAATGGAAAACACCCTGAAGCATACATGTGTCAAATAGAGAGACGTTAACCTCAACGTAAATCGTAAAAAGTTATTAACTCTAATACCGTAAAAGACAACCAGAGATTTAATGTATGTGTTGAGGACAATCTACCTTCACTGAAATAGCCTAGGGCCCGAGGCATAACTAGCATCATAATTAATAACTCGACCCAAAGACAGATGTCTATTAATCATGGACCGCGTTAGAATGATTGAGCAAAGTTAATGGGTGTCAGTCGACACAGATTAACTGGAGGAGAGTGATTGTTTTGGGTACAATCTTTTAATTACGGTTGCACGGAAAACAAATTTGGGTCTATATCTTATTGATCCTGAAATATTAATATATGTACATATTTTAATGACATAATCTCTCTTAAACAATGTATATTGATAGTTGAAATTCTACACTCAATACATACAGCAAAAATAGCAATATGCATTTATAGAATAAACGTTTATCATGCATATATGTGGATGTGCATATATAATAAGATAAAATTCCTAATATATAGGTAAATATCAATACCGTGATGTAATTGATGTACATGTTAATAACCAATTAGGGAACAGCCACTTATTAGCATTACAATGGAGACATACTAATCCTCACACCAAACCAGTAGTCAGAGAGTCGAGACTACTTGTAAAGATAATTAATGATCTTTTAATGTTTTCATACATATGAGTGATGCATGTACTTTTACTATTCAAGGAGCATGTTTATGTTGATTGACTTGTGTTATTTCGATAACGTTACATGGAATGTGCTGGTCACACATATTTCACTTTATTTACTTTTTAGATTATATTTCTAGGGTCCGGTATTCAGGATACAAGGT